CTCTCTCTCTCTCTCTCTCTCTCTCTCTCTCTCTCTCTCTCTCTCTCTCTCTCTCTCTCTCTCTCTCTCTCTCTCTCTCCTATTTCTCTTGTCACATTACTTTCCTCTATTATATTCTCCTTACCACTTAAGTGTTTTTCCCCATCTTTTCTTCTTTTTTTTGGATAAGGGGTCTCACTTGCAATAAAAAATTAGATTAATATATTTGAACTTTTCTCGCAAAAGATCTTTACAACAAATCTCTTTTTGAGGTTCTCTACCCTTACCCACCTGCATATAACAATCTTTGTCCTTTTGGTTGTCTTGTCTACCCGTGGCTTAGGCCTCACACGCAGCACAAACTCTGATCCAACCCTGATCTACTTCGTGTGTCTTCCTTGGGTATCATCCCACCATCAAAGGATATAAGGGTTATGATCTTGTGTCTCAAAAAATATGTTAGGTTCGTTGAGAACTAGTTCCCATATTCTCAACTCTCATCTATTTCATCATCTTCCAAAATCACACCCATTTTTCCACCCTATTCAAGCTCACATGCTCAAGTATCACCAAGCCAAGTTGTGCCCCAAACGATCGAGACCATCGACCGCTCCCCATGCCATGGTTGACCATCCCAGCAACCCTTCACAGAAACGCTACAGTCAATCGACCCCTTGCACCATACCACAGGCCACGGTCAACCATTTGTCACCTCCTCCATTAAACTTCTACATGCGGTCAATTCATTGGACCATCTCATCCCAATGGCCAACCGCCACCCTACCAGTAACCCAGTTCATACTCAAACCATACATCCACACCCAAATACCACCACTAACACTCATCACATGCAAACTCGTGCCAAATATGCAATATGCAAGCCTAAACCTATACCATCACCACTCTTGATAATACCCCTCCTATCACCGAGCCTAGCACATACAACCAATCCTCCAAGAATCATTTTTTATTCTACTAGGCTATAAGTTGGGAATTTATAGCTTTGAATGAACTACGAAGATGGGATATGGTACCACCGCCCAAGAACCGCACTCCAATTGGTTGTAAGTGGGTGTTGTATTGTATTAAACAGAATGCTGACGGATCTGTTTCCAGGTATAAGGCTTGTCTTGTAGCCAAAGGTTATCATCAAGAGTTTGATATTGATTATAAGGAGACATTCAGCCTTGTTGTTAAAGAACAAACGGTGCGCCTTGTTATCTAATTGGCTCTTAATCGTGATTGGCCTCTTCATCAGTTAGATGTTAGTAATGTCTTTTTACATGGAACTGTGGACAAAGAAATCTTTATGGAGCAACCACTGGGATACATAAATCCTTAGCAACCGCGCTATGTTTGCAAGTGAGGAAGTCGTTGTATGGCCTCAAACAAGTCCCACATGCGTGGTACACATGCCTGTCATCTTTTTTTACAGGGCCTTGGTTTTTGTTATTTTATTCATGACACTAGTTTATTCACTCGCCATTCTTCTAGAGGAATAGTCATTGTCTTGGTCTATGTTTATATATAATATCGTCATTTATACAACTCGTCAGCCCTAATTTTTGAAATTACTTGGGCTATGCACTGAGACTTCCGGTTGAAAGAACTCGATCCTTTGCATTTCTTCTTTGGTATTGAGGTCAAGCGCACTAAGGATTTCATTCTCCTCCATCAAACCAAGTACGTGTGTGAACTTCTACACAAGGTGGGCATGTCTAGATGTCATCCCGCCGTCACTCCTCTGGCGGCTCGACATGTGGTCATCCCACTTCCTTTGCTCCATTCAAGGATCCCACTCACTTCCGCAGCATTGTTGGTGGTTTGCATTATCTGGAAGTTACTCATCCAGATATCCAGTATGTTGTTCATTGAGTGTCTCAAGTTGTGCACAATCCGACTTAACAGAATTATCATGCCTTGCAGCGCATTCTACGATACTTAAAAGGTAGTGTACACCTTGGTCTTCTTTTTTCGCAAGAGGGGACTTAATCTATCTGTTTATTCTGATTCTGATTAAGGAAATGATAAAGATGATCGGAAATCTACTATAAGTTACATACTCATGCTTGGCTCCAATCTCATATCTTGGTGTACAAAAAAGTAGACCTGTGTCTCTAGATCTTCCACTGAAGCTGAATATCGTGCCATGGCTGCAGGCGTGGCCAAAGCTATGTGGCTGCGCTACATTACTAATGCTCTGGGTATCCCTACATCAAAACCTCGCCTATACTATGACAATGAGTCAACCATCTATGTGACCAAAGATCCAGTTCTACATGACCGCATGAAGCATGTTGATTTTCAGACTGTCATTTTGTACGAAATCGCTTCCACCAACTCCATTCGAGTACTTGTTCTCCAAGTTGTCCCTCATTTCTGTTGATCAGCTTGCGGGGATGATAAGAAATAGAATTCTAATAAGGATAATTTACCTAGATAGGACTAAAACATAATAACTTTCTCAATCTAGGACCATATGTTTTTATTTTCCAATGTAGGACCATTGGTCATTACTCCCTTTGTCCCGCTATATTCGTCCACTTTTTGACTTTTGGAACTGTTCATCTAAGCACTTTGACTCATCAAATTCTCTCAATGTGTAAGCCTAACACTACAATAAAACTGTCAATTTGCAACGGCCAATTTCCGTGGCAGATTTTGAAATTTCGTGGCAGATTAGCAATCTGCGACAGAACTGCAACGAATATTTTCCGTCGCAGAAAAGTTGTGGCAGATTGAAAATCTACGACGGAAATAAGATTCTGTGGCAGATCTGCCACGGACCTGCAACGGGTACCTTCGTCTTTTGCACCCCAAAAATCTGCGACGGAAGTATTGAAACCGTCGCAGATCTGCGACGGAAATAGCGACGGTTATGTCCGTCGCAGACAGGCGACAAAACGCAGCAACAAGAATTTCCGTCGCAGACAACCTAATCACAGCACCATCATTTTCTATTTTTCAACAAACCATACCTACAATAAAGACGGCTAACAAATGACAATTTGATTAAACCACAAACAACACTAATTTAACTATAGATATGAACATATTATACACTAAATTTCACAAAATTCAACTAAAGTTTACCTAAATTCACAATAAATGTCAAATTTACTAACACAATTTTAATTAAAATTTTAACCAAAAAGTAATGCAATTTTTACCCAATTTCATGTCAATTTCATCTCATATACACACAATTTAAGTAAATTTCACCAAAATGCACTCAATTTCACACAAAGAAATTCAATTTCACCAAAAATTAAATTAAACACATAAGGCAAAGATGC